CCTCTGCCAGCGCTGGGGGGGCCTCACAGGGTCCCCCCCCCACCCCCCGATGTTCAGGGGGAACCTCCTGCACCCCAGTTGGTGCCCGTGGGCTGGTCCTGGCACTGGGCACCACTGGGAAGAGCCGGGCTCCGTCCTCTTGGGACCTTCTCTTCAGGTCTTGATGACCTTCTCCAGGCTGGACGTCCTGTCTCCTCCTGGGGGTGACGCCTCTGCCAGCGCTGGGGGGGCCTCACAGGGTCCCCCCCCCACCCCCCGATGTTCAGGGGGAACCTCCTGCACCCCAGTTGGTGCCCGTGGGCTGGTCCTGGCACTGGGCACCACTGGGAAGAGCCGGGCTCCGTCCTCTTGGGACCTTCTCTTCAGGTCTTGATGACCTTCTCCAGGCTGGACGTCCTGTCTCCTCCTGGGGGTGACGGTCCAGCCCCAGCAGCATCTTGGTAGCCCTTTGGTGGACTCTCCCCAGTATGGCCATGGCTCTCTCGTACTGGGGAGCCCAGGACCTCAGCTGTGGCCTCACCAGTGCTGAGGAGAGGGGAAAGGTCCCCTGCCTTGACCACAACCCTCCTCCTGATGCCCCCCAGGACACCCTTAGTCACCTTTGCTGGATCACGTTGAGCTCGGTGCCCACCAGACCCCTGGGGCCTTCTCCACGAAGCCATTTTCCAACTGGGAGACCCCCCCAGCAGATACTGGTGCTGGGGGCTGTGGCTCCCCGGGAGCAGGACTTTGCTCTTCCCCTCGTTGAGCTCCATGAGGTTCCTCTTGGGCCCGTTTCTCCAGCCTGTCCAAGGTCCCTCTGGGTGGCAGAAGACCTCTGAGGAGCCCAGGGCTGTCACCCCCCCTCGGTGACTGAGCCCCCCCATCTCCTGGCCACCATGGCCAAGGCCATCTTTGACCCCAAGGAGCCCCTCAGTGGTGGGGAAGGTGAGCTCCAAGCAGAGCATCCCCCCCTCCTCGGCTCCTCTGTCACTTGGAGGAGGACGTTGCCATCAGTCAGAGAATTATGGACTTGCCCAGGTTGGAGGGGACCTTTCAGCTCCTCGGGTCCAACCATCAACCCAACACTGATCAAACCCCCCGCTGAACCCCACCTCCAAGCCCCACGTCTACCCGTCTTTTACATCCCTCCAGGGATGGGGGACTCCAACCGCTTCCTCCTGGGCTGCCGGTGGCTGGTGGGGACCTCTGGCCGGTGGGGACCTCTGAAGTCCCACTGGAGGACCAGGATCTCGTGAACGTGGGGCTGCTCCTCCCCATCTCCCCATCCTTCTCCCTCCTCCTCCCCTTTTTTTCTTGCCTATCCATGGGGACGGGTGGGCACCCAGGGGAGGTGGGCACCCAGGGGAGGTGGGCACCCAAGGGAGGTGGGCACCAGCATCCTGGCTGTGTCACCCCCCCCTCCCCACCCTTCCTGACCCCCCCAGTTCCTCTCCCCACAGCTGGGCGAGGGTCTGGGTGCCAAAGAGACACCCCAACAGCGGTACCAGCGGCTGCAGCACGAGGTGCAGGAGCTGGTGAGGGAGGTGGAGCAGATCCAGGTGAGCATCCCCAACATTACCAAGGTGGGATGACCCTCAAGGGGGATGGTGGGGGGAGATGTGAGGGTCCCAGGAAGGTGGGGGGTGACACGGCCACCTCTTCCTGCAGAGCACGGTGAAGGAGTCGGCGGCGGAGGAGGAGCTGACGCCCATGGCCTTGGCCAGGCAGGTGGAGGGGCTGAAGCAGCAGTTGGTCTCCAGCCACCTGGAGAAGCTGCTGGGTCCCGCCGCCGCTAGAATGAACTAAACTACTTTAATCAAAAATAATATTAAAATAAAAGAGAAGAAAATAATGAAATGGATACAATATATATACAAAACCGTATCAAGCTCCCAGGATGATGGTCCCGTCACCAGCAGGCACTGGGGGAGTCCCAGACTGGACTCAGTGATGGATGGGAGCAGGATTCCAGCTCTGGAGTCAGGATCTGGGTCGGGATCAAAGGCAGATGGACAGACAGGGTCCTCTTGGGACGTCGGCCATTGCAGGAAGACAGTTGACCCTTTGATCCCTCAGCTTTTACACTGAGCATGGGGCAGATGGGATGGAATACCCCTGTTGGTCAGGTTTGGGTCACCTGTCCTGTCCCCTCCTCCCCACAGATGTGACCCCTCTACGTTTTTTCCGTTTCAGACCCTCTAAGGGGCAAATAACGAAAATTGGCTGCCCTTGGTTGTTACAGCAATAAGTATAAGCCAGGGCCTCTCTGCTCACCATTCCCTGGCATTTAGCACAAACATTGGTCTGATCACTCTGAGAAGGAACAGTTTTCTCCACAATACGCCGTTAATTTCAGAGAGCTAGAAAAGGGCCTAACTAAAATGCAAAGTTACAGAACACAAAATTGATCCGGTTTTACCTCAAACCGGGACAGGGGTGTGGGGTGGGTGACAGCACCCCCAAACCCCCCCTCCATCCCCTCTCTGTCCCCTCTCTGCCCAGGCGCCTGCTGCAGCAGCTGGAGGTGGCCAAATGCAGCAAAGCCCCCCCAGGGAAGAGCCCGGCCAAAGCCCCGGGCCCCACCGGCGACGCCGTCACCTTCGAGCTCTACTGGAGACCAGAGCAGGACCAGTTTGCCCAAACTGCCAAGGTGGGTGGGTGGGGGTAAAGGAGGGGGGGCACACACCAAATCACCCCCAAAATGGGGTGTCTCAACACCCCCATCTCCAGCGAAGGGCAACAAAGATGATTCAAGGATTGGAGCATCTCCCTGATGGGGAGAGACTGAGAGAGCTGGGACTCTTTAGTCTGGAGAAGAGAAGGCTGAGGGGAGACCTTCTCAATGCCCACAAGTATCTCAAGGGAGGGTTGAAGGAGGAGGGAGCCAGACTCTTTTCAGTGGTTCCCAGTGAGAGGACGAGGGGCAACGGGCACAAGTTGGACCAGAAGAGGTTCCACTCAAATATGAGGAGAAACTTCTTCACGGTGAGGGTGACAGAGCCCTGGAAGAGGCTGCCCAGGGAGGGTGTGGAGTCCCCTTCCTGGGAGATTTTCAAGATGCTCCTGAGTAACGTGCTCTGACAAGCTCTGGGCAATCCTGCTTCAGCAGGGGAGTTGGACTAGATGATCTCTATGGTCCCTTCCAACTCT